CCCCCAAAAAAATCAAATGGGACAAATAATGGGACATGAATATAATCCTAATTTTCAGAACTGATGATATGTTCTGTTAAGAATCAGTAGACAAATTGAAGATAATTGCTTAAGTTTTTTTAACATTAAAGAATTTTTTCCAATTTTTGAATTTGAATGAGCATATGATCAATGCATTTGGCAGGATTCATTCTCACGCCAGAGCAATGTTTTGCTACAGATTTTCCAGAATACCTAGACAATAAATCCACTGTGGTAATAAGAAAGCTGAATACCTACCTTTAGATACGTCTTCATCCTCGTCAACACGTTGTATCTTCGATACAGGCATCTCGCCATTTTCCAAACTTCGTTTTTGGGGAAGACTTTTTGTCAACGTGGGGTCTCCCTTTCTCTTGGCTTCAACTCTTGAAGGTGTTATAAAATCATTATAATCAAGTTTCTTGGCCTTTACTACTCGACCAGATCTTGATCTCACTTCAGATCCATCTGTTTTGACAGGAGGTTTGTCTACAGGTTGTGGAGGTGGAGGTTTGATGGTTATAACTTGCTGTTGTCTGCGAATCTGTAGTGACTTACCTCCCTTGGCCTTGGCAAGCAGCATTTTAGCCACTGATTGAGGTTTTCTTTTAGCAGAAGGAAGGGTATTTTTGCTACTCTCGGGAACAGTTAAGTCTGTATTATCTTGATTACTATTAATTTCATTAATCAGTCTTTCCCCTCGCGGAGCAAAATTGAACTTTACTTTGGACGTCGACTTCAATTTTGGCGAAGGTTCTGTCGTCTTAGGAATCAATTTAGTTGGTGTATACGTATACTTCCTCTCGTAACTCTCCCTTTTCCTATACTGTTTAGCATAGACATTTTCAGATTTAGAAAGCTTATTTTCTTCTCTTTCTTCCTTAGAGTCCTGTCTATCAAGGGGTATTTGTTGAAAGGATTTTTTGGGAGAGTTCCACGATAGATCTGATTGTAGAGAAAGGACGCCATGTTTTCCTTTATTACCAAACGTTCTGGGCGAACTGCTGATCGGAGATGTTATTTTTCGATACGCAACAAGCCCTAAATCTTCTGAACGGAATCCATAGAAGTCTTCCTCCTATATAAATAAAGAAGAACAAACCGTTAGAGATATATCACCAGCATGCCGATAAAGTAACTTGGCCAACAACATAACGGCGCGGGAAGAAAATTGAATCACCTCATCGTCTGAACTACCAAAGATCTCTCGATAACGACGGGCAGAAATAACATGTGGCTTAAATTCCTGGGAATTCAGTTGTTTCTTTCTCTGTTTGAGGATTTTTGGCTTGAATCGTTGGGTATTTTGGGGGTTTTTAGGCGGTCTTCCAACCTTCCTAGCCCCTTGAACCTTTAAGCGCGCCATCTTGTAATTTACTGCTTGTCCTGTCCTACCGTGAGCGCATGGGTACAACATTTATTAAACCTAATTATAAAATCCCGTTTGATTGGTTGACTCATACAAGTACTCTCCTAAACACCTAAACACATACCATACTTTACTATACTTAAAAACATCAAATTGCAAACAAATACACTCGAAATAGCTTCTGTTTTCGATTTAAGTCTAAATTTATCAAACGCATAAATTTTCGTGAAATATTTCCTGAGATAATAATGTTACATTAAGACCAATCAGGTAAGAGCTTCTATATACTTTTCTCGGGGTATTTTTTCTGTCGCAGCATTCTCTGTTCCCTACGGCTTATGGGAGGAACAAGACTTTAAGAAAGTTTAAATTTATTTATACGAATTTTATTTCAGCAAAGGTCTAAGATAATAAAACAACAGCCATTAAGAATAATATACTCAAAAAATAGAAAGTAAGCACAAATTTATGAGCAGATTAAAACTTTAAATTTTTCGACCGTCTTCGCTCCATCCTTGGACGGACCTCCGTTCCCAGATTTCTCCCTTAGACTTTGTTTACTAACAACTAAGCTTTTGCACCTGTTATGCTATCGTTCTGTAGCTAAATGACATAATTTTTTCGTGTTTAGATTCAAGGATAGGTATTTTTTAATCCAAAAATCGATGAAAAAGTCTTTGAATCCGACGCATTGAGTTCAACTGAGACGGACACATAGAAAGCAAAAAAAACCAGCATTTCCTTGTTGTTTATTCCTTTAGAACACTTTTGAATCTATGAATTATCAATAGTAAATGTCAATTAGTGTCTAAGTGTTATCATTTAAAAAATCTTCGACACCTAACAGAATATTGAGGGCTTTTTTCAACGTTTACTCCGAGTTGTCTTGCGGGTTTTCCCCTCACGAAACATGTCGCCAAGCAAACCTTGGGAAATGGTTCTGCCAAACTGAGTCAAATTTCTCGCTAGCCTAAATTTCATTGCGAAATTTTCTCTGTTTTACACTACTCATCACGTGTAGAATAGAAGAAATGACAATATAGAACATTTGGATGAAATACCAAATATATCTAAGACCGTTCTTAACGTTTCTAGAATAAACTCTAAGAGAATTTTACGAGGAGTTGTTTGTTGGACTAAAATTCATGACTAACCTCGCCTTTGTCGCTCCTTTTAACCAAGATACTCAAATGGTTCAGAAATGGTTCATCTCCAAAGTCCAATACGCGCAATTGCTTCCTTCTATATTCTACTGACATGCATTCGCGATCGTCCAACCAATTTCAACAATTCTTAGAACTTTTTTATTCCCTGTATATACTCCGGACTAGAATTATATTATTCTAAGTTTACTGGAGTAAATGACCACATAGATTACGTCACAGTCGTCCATGATGTTTTGACCAGAGGAAAACTCAGGGAATCACCATTCGATAGCGATCGGACCCAGTTCCCCGCGTTGGGCCCAGGTTCGCGCAGCAGCGATTCCCTTGTTCAATGGGATCTCCTAACAACGCCCACTGGCATTGACTAGCTTGCTTCATAGTATTTTACTAAAAGTGAACCGAAATAACCCCAATTCCTTGCTATACAGTATAGCTGAGCACTTCACGAAAACACTAAATTAGCACAGAAAACGTCTTAAGAAATTCTTCGCTCTCCGAGGGATAGCACAGCGTACGCCATAGCTTTTGTAGTAAAGATCAACGAGTGTTTGAGGACAAGTTCTCTAAAATTGTATTAGCCAACACTAAGGCTAGTTTTAATCTATTTAATAGATGAACTAATAAGTTAAGTTTCTCAAACTTCTAGTAGAGAATTATATGCATGTAGTAAGTTTTGGGAGTTTCATTTGGTCAGGGTCAATACTGGCCATAAGCTTCGATGGGAAAGTCGGCAAAATCTTAGCATTCCTTTCGATGCAAATGCAGAAGTCAGATTTCCCCGAAACCGATTTTTCCATCTTCAGTCAGTTTGGGTTTACGTTTTGGTTGGTGGAGAGATAGCTCGTCTTTTTCATAATTCAGTGCAGCTTTTTCGATCGTAAACTTAGAAACGAACTTCACGTTTTTAAAAGCTTTGGGTAAACAATGCGGTCATCTTATGCTGTCCGTGGTCAGGGGATGGAGTTTAGTGGCCTTATCTTCTTGAGGCTAGGAGTTTAAATAAGAAAATTTAGCTTGATAAAGAACATGAAGAACATTTTCCGATCCAATATGGCGGAGATCGATCACGTGACTGGAACAACAAACAAACAAGCAAATAAACTAAGCAAGAAGGAAAGAGATTTTGAATAATTTGCTACCCCTAATTCTAGTGATATCCCATTATACTATGAAAGAAGACCATTATTTCGTTCTAAGTTTATTTATTTCTTCTCACTGAAAAAGTCAGCATAGAATACTATATTTTAGTGAGAAACGTATATACAACAATCTTTTGTGTTCTTTCAAGAAATATTTTTTTGGAAAACGAGTATGGGTGTCCAGGAAAGGTTTATTAAGATTCTTAACAAGACAGACTTTTTGCGAGTGGCTAGCTGACTTGAGCGAAAGGTGGTTGTTTGTGCTCGATGGTCGCCTCTGGTCGTTCAAGAGAGGGTTTAAAAATGGAAACAAGTAAAAATTTTACTCAGTCGAGCAAGTTGACAGTGGTAGTTTTAGTACGCCGATTTTATAGGCAATTAATAATGGAATCTCGTTCTTCCTCGAGAAAAGTTCTTAAGATAACTTCGATGTTTTCTTCACTTCGCGAGACCTGCTTCTCCAGCGTAGCCCTGAAGTCTTCTTTAGCTCCTTTGTTGACACCACGTGTTACTGTTCGGGACCTATAAAGGAAATAAATACATAGTCATTATATTAGGCTTCCACCAAGTTCCATCCACTGACTCACTCGGAGATCGGGGATGCTTACGATTTACCAGGAGAAAGCCGAAATTCCGGGTGTAAAAACAACTAGCATATGTGTCATTCCGATTGGAAAGTTCGGTCTTCCGATTGAGGTAATCCACTTTACCCGTTCCAGTTCTTTCCGTAGACGTGTGTCCCATTTGTCGGAAGTCAAAGTTTGCCGCTCTTTTCTTAGCATTATAGCAAACGAATTTCCAACCAGACAGATTGGTTCCGGTAAATGTTAATTTAGTAAGGCCGCGGAGAGAAAACAAAGCCAGAGGAAAATTATGGCCAAGAAGGAACAGAAAATGGAAGAGAGGAGTTGCTTACCTTGATGTTGATGTAGACTTGGGAAGAAGCTCTAATTTGAGAACTCCTTCGCTACTCAAATACGCAAACTCTTCCAAAATGTCGATATCTGGTTTTAAAGGAGTCAAGGAAGGGGAGCTCAAAAAATCAAAATTAATTTAATCAGATACAAAATAAAAACAAAAATTTGAAGTTCAAAGACCACACCGGCGAGACAGCGACCGTCCCGTCCCTCAGATGGATTGAAGAAAAGTCAAAGCCACTGACCAAGATCATTGTAGGAGGATCAAACTACAGGTCCGTCGCTTCACTGCATACCACCGCCATCCCCACCCTACTGATCAAGCGACACTTTCTCCTTAGGATAGGGTAGTTTCATATAACTGTAAAAAGGGACAAAACGAGGTGACGTCATGGAACGGAATTGACAACCACCTATGAACCAATTACAACAACCAATCACAGGGACACAGCAGGGGACACAGCACGGGACACAGCACGGTCAAGGTCACGCTCAGGATCAAGGCATGGCACTTATGAACCGTTTATTTTTTACAAACCCAATTTCAATATACAGCTGGCTTTTCGTTATCCAAATGCAATCAGATCAAAAGGAGTGCCTTCGATAGACCAATGAAAAGCTAAACCTTCGCAAGTCAAAAAATTTAATAATTAGTACAACTTATAAAAAGGATACTGACAATATAATTGAAGAATTTCCGATATGTGAGCCCGCCATGCGACCGAATTCTCTCCAGCAGCTCGTAGAATGTTTGGTCTTCTTTTGGCCAATCATATTGCAGGAGTATTATCATGTGACCAACGAGATCTCCAGAGCGAGTCTCGTGGGAAATTTTTTGCTGTGTAAACATATAGTAAAAGTTCGTTAAAACGTGCGGTATGCTGGTTCTTAAATGGCTTCCGTATCAGAGTCTTGTGATTGGACGACGTGGACTTTCATGCTGTTTGATTGGTTGTTTGTGGGAACCCAATTAAGTGTGGCGATATGTCCACGAGTCTTGAAAACCCGCGCAACGTTTTTTTATTAATAACCCCCCCCCCCCCTAGTAGGTTACCAAATAGACCAATGATGACGTCACTGATGACCCAAATGATGACGTAATTTAGGTCACGTGAGAATTCTTACTTTGAAGCATGTGATAAGGAGGCGAACACAGAATGACAGAGCTTCTCCTTCTGTACATGGAATGAGCTGTAGAACTCGACCTGCAAAATAATACAATCAATTATAATACACACAACAAAATTCTCAAATTGCTGCTATTCTTGATCAATAAGAAACACTCAGTGGTACCTGGAAAAATGAGCTGTGAGGGCCCCATAGCATTTGTGTCCCTGTTAGATGAGCCCTGCATTGTTGAGATCCCTCTTTTGAGGGACTTGACATCAGTGGTATTTATACTCTGGGAGCTAAAAAACCGCAATGCGTTGAGAGCTTCTGCACAGGAATTCTGAAAAAATGGGAAAAAGGAGTTACTGAGTGGAAAAAATGGAAAGAGGTAGGAAGGGTAAGAGTAAAGGGAGGATGAGAGGAAAGGAAAAGGAATGCAAGGGGGGAGTGTCTGAGGGAATGTAAGAAAGGGAAGGGAAAGGGGATGTTAGGGAAGTAAAATGGATTGAAGAAGAGGGTTAACTTAAAAACTGTGTGGCTTTAGAGAGAGAAATTGAGAAGAGAGGATTAGTTAGTTTGTCTTTATTGCTCTTTAGAGTCGTATTTTTATACAATAGTAATAAATAACGATCTGTTATAGGGATATATAGTTGTACAAAATTCTTATGTAATTATAGAGCCTGAGGGCTAAGCTAACTGGAAAGTTTTCTAGTTAGCCCCAGTCTTTTTGTTTCTAATTAACAGCAGGTTAAGAAAACAAAGGGTTAAAGCTAAGTTAATGAATATTAAATCAATAATGGAGAGAAGAAGAGAAGGGGGAAAAGGAAAAACAAGCTGATTGGGGATTGAGATAAGAGTAAATTACATGAAGGACTGGAGATTTTTTTTAAGCAAAAAAAAGAAAAAAAAAAGAAAGAAATAGAAACAAGAAGCTGAATAACTAACCCTGTATTCTCCAAGATAAAAATAACAGCAAGACATTTGTAAACTCCCACGGATGAAGACCTAACACATCAAAAGAAGAATCAAATTTTAAAATTTGAAATAAAAACGACTGAAAAAAATATTTGAAAATTCAAAATCTATAACCTCTTGCTGTGCAAAGGGATCTGACTCCAGAAAACCTTTCTGTTCTTTAAGGAAGTCAACCACCTTCTTGTATTTGGCCTTTTAYGAAAAAAGAAAAAAGAAACTATTGAAAGGGAGGAAATTTTTTGATGGAGTGAGGGAGGTACATGTATGTTTTATGCTGCTRAAGTCTTTACCTTGTACACCATTCTGTCTACTTTAAAAGATTCCATCCAAATCCATTGGTCAATATGCCATTCTGCTAGCACTCGAGTGAAACCTAATATCAAAACGAAAAGGTAAAACTGTTTTCTACACAATCCCAGTGAAAGAGTAAGGTAATGCTACTCACTACAGAGAATGATAATTTATTTCACATTGTGTAGTTCAAGAAATTATCAATACTCCTCCCCATCCCCCCACAATTTTTTTTACAGACACCCCTACCCCCAGAAATTCCAATTTTCTTTCATACAAGCTCTGTAATTCTTCTGTGGGGTGGGTATGGATCATTTATGTAACTACACATTTCAGTTTTCCTTATTTGTAAGTTCTTTTGAAGTTTTTAGATATTGCATTTCAGTTTTAAGATCAGAGTAAAATTCTTACCACTCTTGTAGTCACTATGGGTGTTAAGAATGTGCCATGTATCGACAGAAACCACAAACTCATCAGGAAGACTTGTGCTCACGTTACCACAACCTCATTAAAAGAAGATACAGAAATAATATAAGAACATGTGTAATAGGTAAATTACGAGCCTTGTATGGAACAACTAAAGAAGAGGGCCAATGGGCCTTTCACAACTCCAAGTCACGTAAAAAATGAGCCAGCTCAACTAGAAACCGTGGACAGCTGTTTCAGCCTGTATTGGGCCTCATCAGCATGGTCTATATAGTGAGCTGGTAGAATCCCACGAAAAAATTACAGAGCATTGTTCTTCCATTTAACTTTGTTGACTCGTACAGTCATATTATTGGGACAGATGACAACATTAATGAGAACCTATGATTGCATTATACCAACAGTGAGATCAGCATTGGTCTCATTGGTCCACTTAGAAATTATAGAAATTTTACAAGGCTGTGATCAAAAAGACTGTCAATATGATAAGCAGTCTTCTGCGCATTGAGAAACTGGCAGATGTCAAGACGATGTTTCTTGTGGGAGGGTTCTCTCAAGTGTCAGACATGCACCAATTTTAATCAGATATTGTCTGATGTCCGCCATTACTATTAAGACCTGAAAAGTAAAGAATTCTTACTTTTATTAACTGTTATGGTAGCTGTCTGTTTGGCCCTTGAATCCTCTTTTGATGGAGACGATGGTGCCTGTTTTTTAAAAAATGAATAACTCAACTTTTTCAGTTCATGTGCTGTTCAAAGCTCCTTTAGAAACCAACTTATTACATACCGTTCCACCTTTCTTCTTTTTCTTCTTAGGAGCTGAGCTGTAATAAAAAACATACCTGAGTGATACTTCTATTAGCAGACACCCTTCATTAAACAAATATCTAGTTGAACAATCCAGAAATTTTTCTTCTGTGTTAACATTAAAATACAAACTTCTATTCAGTGGATGCCTTTCATTAACTGAACACCAAGCAAGATCCCAAAGGTGTCCACTTAATAGGGGTACAACTATATGTACCGCAAGACAAGTCTCTATTCAGCAGACACTCTTTATGACAAGGGGTCCACTTAGGGGTACTTAGAGTTAACAGTGTTTGACTGACCTTCCTTCAGATGACGCCCCTCCTGCCCAGCCATCTATACTAGTTTTATCGGCACCCACATCCTCTAGGAGTACTAATGGAACACTTGATGAGAGACTTGTGTTCACTAAAATCAAAAATAGCCCAAGTGAGACAAAACAATTATCTTTTCAATTTGAGCAAGATTCCTCAGGAACAATTTTTTTGTAAATATGCATGACTAAAGTAATAAAATAAATATTGTTGTTGTCGTTGTCTGTCAATAACATTTTGCCTCCGACAAAGAGTTTAGAAAAACCAGGCAATGGTTTGGAAAACTTAAATAACCTTTTCCAGCAACACCATGAAAGGATAAAACACTGAAAGTGCCATTTGTTTAGAATTTCAGTATATTTGTAAAAGAAAATTTTCCTTTTTAAAATTGAAAATTGGAAATTGTTTATTTTATGACCAGCAAACAGGTATTGATTGACAGTTGGTTGAGCATTGGTGGGTCATCAATTGAAACTTTATCAACATTGTCTGTCAACCATCAGCTGACTATTTGGCAACCATGGTTAACCGTTGACCGGTCATCAGTTGAAACTTTACCAGCATTGTCCGTCAACCATCAGCTGACTATTTTGCAACCATCCATCAAGCTTTTAGTAAAAACCAAATTGAAACTTTAAAAATCAAAAACACCATGGTAGAAAATTTCCCTTGTTACTCACCTCCAGAGTCAAGCTTATTAACGACTTTGCAGTACTCCCAAACTGACTGGAAAAATATAATAATAATGGCATAAAAAACTCCAGTTTTCTCCTGAGATTCATTGATAACTCTTTCAGTTGTCCCATGTTTTGCTGCCTTTTTCAGCCATTGATGAATTTCTGAAATACATAACCATCTTTCTTTGATGCTCCTAAAAATATAAATTATTTATCAGGAATCTACAAATACTCATAAATGCAATATTGGGATACCTGTGGTAATGGTTGACACAGGGATACCAAAATAAAATAACAGGAATTTGAAAATTTTATTTTAACCTTACCTGTGCACAACAGGGTTTAACATGTCTTGTGTCCTCAGAATTTCAGTCCATTCACACTTCTTAGCCACTAAACAGAAGATGTCAAAAAGTGATCCCCAGGGACCCCTCCCTTCTTGTACGCTTGATACAATTTCTCGGGTATCTTTGACTTGAGGCCCAGATGAGGCTGTAGGTGATAGAAGTTGTTGTTCCACAGGGTTGGGTAGGAAAGTGGCACAGAAAGAATAGAATTGTATGCTGAGTTCTAACCATTTTAGAACTGTCGGTTGTGAAATTCCTGGTTGACGTCCCTATGTTGAAAGGAATAAGAAAAACTACATTGTCATCATTATCATCATCACCATTGTCATCACCATCATGCATCATCATCATCATAATCATCATTCATCATCATCCTCATTCATCATCACCATCATTCATTATCACCATTCATCATCATCATCATCATCTCCATCATCAACCATCGCCATTGATATCATCACTATCATAATTATCATAACTGTCATATTTATACCTACCTCTTTCTCTGTTTCGGCAGACCAGTTTTCTGTGATAACAACTCTCTCGCTTGTCAAAAGATGAGGCAGCACATCATTAACTGTAAAGACAAGTAATATTAGACATATGAAAAACATTTCATGTGTATATGATAAACTGATAATTATTTTCTTTCCTGTTAACCCCACCCCTCCTTCTCAAATGGTATGTCATCAGTCTAACAGTATATATCAGAAATTTATTTTATACAAACCCAATAGTTTTCTGTATTGATTCAGAGGGTTTGTTGGATACTCTGAGTTTTCTGCATCTATCAACATCTCGGTCAAAGTAATCTAGCAAAAGAAAGTTAGTAAACCTCTAAGAGTGTACATTTTCTCCCCGGGGGGGGGATGTGAGGATGTAGGGATGTGCCGCTGAGCCCTCTGAAATTTGACCCTGTTCTACCAGAGTAAAATCTCTGAAATTCATACCCTATTCCAGAGCAAGATCGCTGAAAACCATAACCTTTTTTGGTGGTGCGAAAATAGATACCCTGTTCCAGAGAGGAGAGAGCATGATTTTATATACCCTGTTCCAGAATAGAATCGCTGAAAACCATCCTGTTTGGCGGCACATACCTGTATAGCAAATATAGGGGAGTATAACCGCCCCCCAGATTTTCTCTCTTTTGATTGCATGAAAAAATATGGTTCATCATGCAGTTATATGACGGCAATGATAAAATGCAAAAATTTGTTACCCCATTCTTAGGAATAGCATCTGGAAATCTTCTCATAAGTAGGAGCATCATGCGACATTTTTCAATGCAGTCTTTACACCGTCCTGGAATAAACAAGATTGAAAATTGAGTATGTTTAAAAGATAATTTAATCATATTTAATAAACACATTGAAGGCCCTAACTCAGACTTCCTAGGGACCAAGGAGAAGGTTTGAGAAATTGGAGGTTCAACATATCCAGGTAAATTGGCATAGTGTTAAGTACACTACTGACACAAGTGGGATATGGCCTATTATATTTAAACACTTCCAAACCTGCTGCTTGTAGAAGAATTTCTCTTTGGGCATCTTGAGGGAGACTGTTGAACATTTCTTTAAAAAAGGAAAACATTTATTCATTTCTATTGGAGTGTAAACCAAATATCTGTGAAATAGCACAACATTGCAAAAACATAGAAAAACATTGCAACCATGGTAAAGATACCGTTAGGGATATATTTTTTACCTTTTAAAAACACTCCTTGAGGATCAATTTCATTTCTTTCCAAAGCTTCTGTGATATTCTGGATATCTTCCCATAATAAACTTTCATTTGGAAACTGCACAAACCTGTAAAATGTAAGAAAATAATACATGTCAGTATTTCAGTGAAGCATGGGTGCCTTTTATTACTCTGTGAGTCTGTTGTTGGCAAAGTTAAGTTGCTTGACAGTTGGGATTCTCTGATTTTTCTCCCTTCACAAAAATCCACTTCTAAATTCCAATTGGAGTTTAGTGAAAAAATAATAATGATCTTTATTGCACACTTATTACACACTCTCTCTCAGCAGTAATTTTTAGAGAGGTGCTAATTATTGCTATTTTTATTTATTATTTTATTACTATGGCTATAAATATATTTCCTTGTCATTGCAGCATTGGGGATAAAGCATAGTCTACGTAGACCTCCTAGACAAGCACTTTCGCTCTTAGAGTTAATGTATTTGAAAAAAAAAGTTTAAATAATAAAAAAGCCCACTTACATGTCATAAAACAAAATGGCAGACTCCTTCACTTTCTTGGCATTTCTTTCAATGTTATAAGCCTCATGCTGGAAGCAAAATAAATAAATAAATGAATAAATGAATGAACAAATGAACAAATGAATGAACAAGATTGAGAAATTGAGTAAAAAGGTTCAAAGAAACAACTAGATAAGCAAAGGAATGATTGCATCAGCATYTTATCTATAAAGTGTAAACAAAAACAAAACAAGAAAACATCCATGCATAATTCCTTATCCCACAGGCTTTTAGCTTTAAATATTTTCGTGTAATAAAGGTACTCTATTCTATTCTAAACATATCCTCCACAGACCCTCCTTAGTCTTTGGAAAGCCAAGGGGAATAAAGTTTTTTTCCATTAAATTTTGTATAATACAATATTATAATATCGTTATTATACATGTAAAACTTCATCTTACATGGAACAATTTGATTTTTGATCAATAAACAAAGTCTAAGATAAATATTTTACCTGCACGTGAAAGTCTCTTGGATACAGTGTTTTCGCCGTGAGAAGCCATGACTTAGCTTCGTACAAATCCTTGTGCTTTAAGCTCTGTCTTGCCCTTTCAACCAGCCATTCTGCTGTAGAAAAACATCCAGTTCGATTGACAGCAATATTTTCACTTGTAGCCGCCATGTTGGATGCGCAACTTGTCTGGGGACTGGTGCTTACAAAGGGAATCCTACACAGGAAGCCCAAGCTATAATTAGCTTCGTCATAACGTCATCTTAAAAAATCTCGAATAAAGAAAAGATGGAAAATAAAGAATAAACTATACATTTATAGAGGAAAAGTTAGGCATTACTTTCATGCACTCTTCTTATGCTAACGCTCATTAAAAAAATTGATCAAGAAAAATTTATAAAGTTCTCAAAAAATGAAAAAAATCAATAGATCTAAAAAGTCCTTCTAATTAATGTTTTAATTTTGTATTTAACGTTGTATTTGATTTTGTTTATAATATCAAAATGTTAACTTTTTTTTGTAAATTTGCGCATAAGAAAAAAGCTGGGCTTCCTGTGTTGGTCCATTAACCCTTGGGTTATCAAAGGTCCGCCCCACAGTTAAGTGGTTCCCTTTCGAACAAGACACGAGGTAAGATGGCGGACATTTTTTCTTATGAGACCAACAAAACCGCCTATTATTATTCCTATGCTTCGTCTTATTCCTATTTCTCACTCCAAAACGTAACTTCAAACATTACTCCTAATGATATTATGCCAATTTACAACTTACTCGTCCAATAACCACATAAAAATAACGTATGAAGATCATGTAAAGTCTCTCGTATTATAAGCTTATCTTAGTATCTTAGTATTTAGTTGTCCAATTGTGTAACCTTTCTGATTTACCTATCGTTTTTAGTCATCACTCATAGAGATTTTTTACATTTCTTTTGAGGGTGAAATTTTTTGTAAGGTTTTCTTTCATTGTATATTAAATAACTGCAGTCATTGATCACGTTTATGAGTGATGTGAAACTAGATAATATTATTTCCTTTTTATAGTTCAAGCTTTATAAATATTTTAATACAGCAGATTTCATATTAATGTAAAAAGATTACAATATGGCCACAGCACAAAATTAATGCACAGAATTGATTATATCCTCTGAACCAATCACAGCACGGGATGATTCAGTCCAATTGGAATGCTCAGACATGGCACTTCACGTTCACTGCACRCTCCTACATGAATTTTTCACCAATATGTGAAATCTGGTCCGTTTCTTACTTTATACTAGAGTAATTGACATTCATTGTCATTTTCCAGGTGGGTATACTTCTGCTGTCAGCATGCAGATCTTCGTGAAGACCCTTACGGGTAAAACTATCACCCTTGAGGTAGAGCCAAGTGACACTATAGAAAATGTCAAGACCAAGATTCAAGATAAGGAAGGTATATGAACACTTTGTTTTACTAGTAACATGTTGCTGGTATGTGCTGTTTATGTGCCAGTTATCGCTGCTGTGGATAAGTGTTTGGTCTTGTTTCCATGGAACAGTGCCCTAGAGTACAATTTACTCTTGCTGGCCACTAATGGGAACACAGCCATCACTCCCTCCACACAAAAAAATCAACTTTTGCATTAAAATTCAATCATTGAATGAAGACCACATGTTTTTAGGCTTTTTCTCTTAAGTGTTACTCTTGTACAACTAAGATATTTCTAGGCCAGCAGTTCTATATAAACACTTTTTGTTGGGTCAGTTGGGCAGAGGCCTGTTATGCAGGAGGCCATGGGTTCARGTAACAGCTGGACTGTCACTCAGGGTCTCGCAGTAACTGAATAGGTGCTGCCTTTGATCTAAAAATACCTGCAAATCGTTTGACCTTTGTCATAGCTCGTGAGAAACCGCTCATGTGAACATAAACGTAGAGAGACAAAAGAGTCACATTTTCCTTTTATGGGAGAATGGAATGTAATTTTAGAACCTTTGGGTCCAAAAGGCAGAGCAAGAGTATGCTGATTTCCTTCCTTGAAATTTTAAAAAATCCCTCTATAATAATGATAATAATTTAACCCAGTTCAAAATTTACATTTGTCGTCAAATGAGCATTACATTTATATATTGATTCCATTATATTCTTGCCACAGGTATTCCTCCTGACCAACAGCGATTGATCTTTGCCGGAAAGCAACTTGAAGATGGACGCACGCTATCTGACTACAACATCCAGAAAGGTTTGAAGCAACTCTAATACCCATGTTACAGTGCTTCCCAATTATATGAGCAAAATTTTGAAATTTGCCATTCTGACGAAATAGGTTTTGGTGGACAATCAAAGCCTTTCCAAGATTTTTATAGGGATGTGCCTTAAAAACTTTGTATTTTCTAGTGATGTTGTCACAACCAAAAATTGTATAATTTTGTGTGTGCCTGGAAAGCACTATAACTATTCAACAATATTGACATCTTCCACATCATTCCACATCATTGATTTTTTACTGTTGGTTGTTGTTTTGATTTGATGTAAGCCATTCACCAGAGGTCTGGATTTGTTTTCATTCATTTTGTGGTTGTTGCCTTCCTGTGCCGTAGGCCTTTTCTGAGTATGATAAACAGGATGCATTATGGTCTAGCTTAGGTACAAACAACACCATTGTACCAAAGCTAGTCCACAATGCACCATATTCACTATCTCAGAAAGGTCTATGTAGAACATGAAATAGGAAAATAGACTGAACGTACCCTTTTATTTTGTTCACAAACTGTGCATAAAATGAATATTCATTTCAAAAACTAAGTGATGGATGAAAATTAAAAAAATTTTTTTTCCAAGATGAATAATCTTTCAATGATTTTCTAAAATTCATTTTTTAGAATCAACACTCCATCTTGTGCTTCGTCTGCGTGGTGGTGTTATTGAACCAAGCTTACGTATCTTGGCCCAGAAGTACAACTGTGAAAAGATGATTTGCAGAAAGTAAGTTCTATTTTATTTGACTTGAAGTTACTGTACACTTGGATTCATTGGTTGAGTAGATTGTTGTTGTGAAGTGTTGCAAACTTACACTCCAGCTATGAAAAGAAACTGCAATGGTATTGTCAGAAAAATGGATTTTTTGCCTGTTTTATAGAAATTCATCCATAATTTTTTTCCTACCAAGGTGCTATGCCCGCCTCCATCCCCGTGCTACCAATTGCAGAAAGAAGAAATGTGGACACAGCAACAACCTGCGACCCAAGAAGAAGCTGAAGTAGATTGTTAATCTGTCATTGCAATTGATAATCATTAAAGCATATTGGCTGTAACCTGTGTCTTTGATTATTTCCGATTCATTGAAGTTTTCATTTCTTGTTCTCTGACTAGCATTTCATAGACCACCAATCAAAGAACTACAATAAAAAAACAAGATTTTGAGGGAGATTTTGGGCTGAAATAAAGATTATAGAGAATTAAAATCTAAAATCTTTCTCAAGATATGTGTGTGTATTTTATTGCCGTTCTTTGATAGATGGTTGTTAAAATGCTAATCAGCAAATGAGACTTTAAAACTTGTGGGTTGCACTTCAAAAATAATGGTAGAGGGTTTTTAGCTCTGATTTTTGCATGTCTGTGATGAAACTTCTATGACGTAAGCAAATTGCAACGTGAGTTCTAGTAGCTTAGAGGTTAGAGCACCTGACCAGCAACCAGAAGGTTTCAGRTTTGATTCCTGCTTGGAGGAGAAATCTTTTTAAACAAGAAAATTAGTTTTGAAGAAAAACAATTTACTTTTAATGAAAACACTATTCACTCTCATTAACACTTGATGGTGTCTTTTAGCTAAAGTTTTGGACCAAAACCTTAGAAGACTACCTTGGGTATGTCCACAGGCTGTATCACTCTGGAACCTCTTGGCCATAGGATTAGTTGTCACGAGGCAAAAACTATGACCAAGAAGCACTAGAGCGAGAGATGCTTTGGAATTCAGGGTAACAAGTCTCCTGGCCCATCCCCCCTAAAAACTATAGTAGCTCAGGACAATAACAGGTAGAAAGGCGATACCACTATTACTTGTATCRAGATTGATCCAGAGTTTGATCCATAGAGAACTGTTAATGTGAAGCTGTATTGTCAGCTCAGAATTACCTCGCAGAAAAGAGAATCCCAATACAAGTAAATATTGAGAATTTTAAATTCATGTAAATTCTGTTTTAACTGTTTCCAATTTCGTACCCAACRACGAGGTCTCTCGCATAATCTATTTTTTGAGACCAGGATTTCTTGGATTTCCACTTTATGAGGGCATGCATTCAAAGACTTGTGAAAAAATTTAAGAATAGAAATCAGTTGCTTCTGTAAAATGTCACTAATGTCCCTCAAAACACTTYTAATTTTTATTTTGATCAGAAGTAAACACAATACTTGGTCTGAAAGCATGATTTCATTGATTTTCATAGTTAACCGAATATTTTTCACCTCTGGAAAATTGTGCATGCGCCAACAAAATGGATTAAACCAGAGCCCTCGTTCATGGCCGCAGGCCAGAAGAAACACAGTCTCTGGGTGCTAGATCGCTGTCTTTCAGCATTATTTGGTTGTTGGTGCTGTCAATCAAAGGTAACCAGACTACAACTGAATAATCATTCTGATGGACAGTTCAAAACACTAGAATTTGTGCAAACGAAAATTACAGTAAAACAAATCTAAAGGTCATTCTTATAAAATATATCGTTATCTACTAAATTTATTTATTTATGCTTGTAGCTCAATTTACATCAAATTCAACGGAGGTTTCAATATCTTTCATATTCATGAGCCTTTGTCTAAATGGAGTACAACAAATACATATGGTAAAACACGAAACTGTGAACCCTTTCTAGAACGAAATGGTAGATTTATTCTGCGAATAACTAGACTTTAATACAAGTAAACTCTGTCTTTATCACTAAGTTCGTCTTTACTATTCTCAACAAACCTATGAGTCAAACTATTTTTGCATTTAATTTTGATAAAATAGAAAGTAGGAAGAAATTTGCTCTGATTTAACCGAATTATTATAGAAGTGGAAGTAATGAGTTTTCTTTTCTCTAAATATTSATTAAGATAATGTACAAATCATGTTGGAATTCTCTATCTATTTGGTATGAAAAAATTCTCTTAGGATTTTCCTTGCCATTGCAAAATTGTTGTCAGCTACAATAAGAGCTCTCTTGATAGCTTCCCTTGGATAACCTTGCGCTTCTAATATTTGAAAGTCCTCTTCGTAAAACTGCATTTTATCATCAGCACTGGCATTTGCCAATAAGTCCTCTCGTTCACCGTCTAGTCCTTCGAGTTGCGAARGATCAAATGTGCCCAAATATGCGGGGTTACTGTAACTATGGGCAGGACCGGACCAGCTATTTCTAGAGACAAGTGTATGTCGCAGGCTATTGTTTCTATCACAACGTTTTTCATTATTGTTGCTTATTTCTGATGAGGAATTGCTTAGTTTGGTGTCCTTTGCTGCATGGTCATTATCCAGTACATCCTCTGTAGAGTGAGCTTTGGCAAAGCCAGCACGGTTTTTACGCRAGTCCCTGGGTTTTGAGAATCCAGTTGGATTACTGACTAAGAGGTCATCACTCTTCTCCTCGTTATTCGTTTGCAGAGATGGCCATTCTGTACCCTTGAAAGGGTCATCTGCAAAAGGATCTTCCTCCTTTCCAAACAAACAATTGAAGCCATTTTGATCAGACAGATCATCCTTCTTTTTTGTGTGTTTTTGTTTCATGACTGGTAGAGGCACATCGTAGGAACTGTCATTATCACTCTTTTCTGGAATATTTGTTTCTGAAGTATTTTCTTTTCCTTTAGTAGCATGCTCCTGTCTTTCTTTAATACATGGTTTGTCGTCGTCTTGTGGTGGGTATGATAATATAGCATAATTGATTTTAGGGGTGTTCTTGTTGATATTTGACTTGGGTGTTGCAGCCTTCGCACTTGAAACATCTGCATACCCTATACCTGGAGTTTCAGGTGCCCTTTCTAGATTTATCCTTTTCTCCACTTTCTGTTTGTACTTTCTTTCTGGTATAGCAGGAGGTGGACTTTCTGAATCTGAGTCAGGAGGCGGCGGAGGAGGYGGACCTTTTCGGAAGACTGACGGAGACGGACAGGGTGAGCCTTGCGGCGATGTGTTTGGGGAGCACTGTGGAGAAACATTCGGAGAGGCAAATGGAGAACTGCGCGGAGAAACCCTTGGAGAATTCCTTGGTGTGCTGCGAGGTGACGTTCCTGGGGTGTTTCTTGGTGAGCCAAATGGTGATGATTTTGTAACAATTAGTGTAGGAGAAGTAGGAGTATTCATATGTGACATTTGATTTCGTCTCTGAGGTAAAGGAGGAGGGCAGCTGTCGCTATCTTGTTGGTTACTTAATGTGTTCCCTTGTGGTGGGGAGCGTCTTTGTGTGTCTGATGGCCAGCTTGTGGGTGGATACTAATGGACAATACAAAACATTTCTTGAGTTATGCATATTATTATTGACTTTCTATTAACAGGTATATTCTTGTGCAACACATGGATACAATAATCAAGTTGTGTGCCCATAGTRCAGTTTTTGTATGACTATGAAAAGCTCAGTGCCATAAGCGTGAAGCGCTGTGACCGTGATACTTTCTAGAATTTTACTTGGCTGATTTTTTTCACACGCAATATGATTGGTCTAAAAGTGCCCTGATCTTGACTTGACCATGTCCGCGCTGTGTTTATGCCGTGTTCCGGGTATTTGATTGGATGGAGAGTAAATTCCTGTGCAATGTGATTTGTCTGGCGTATTCCTTGCTGTGTCACGACTGTGTTAATGCCGTGGACTTTTCACAGTCATACGAAAACTGCACTATATACACCATTACTCATACAGTAATTATCTTGGATATGAGAGTGAACAGGGCTTAAAATAACAGCCAATCTTCGGACAACGTCTGGCCAGAATTGGAACTTATCTGGTCAATTCTTTTCCTTGCCCGACATTTTGACCAGTGACATTGAACCAGAAATGAGGTATGACCGAGCTAAAACTAATTTTTACACCAATGTGTAGTTCCAAAAATTATCCATATCCACCGCTCAGAGAAATTTTGAATTTCCGAAGGGTGGGGTCAGAGAAAAAACAAAAATAATAGAGTTTGTATGGTAGAAATAAATGGGAATTTCTGGGGGGGAGGGGGTATTGATAATTTCTGGAACTATACAATAATCATATTATAACAGGTTACTGACTAGTCATTACTTTAAACCCCACTGACATAAAAATACWAAAGATTTCAATTTTTTTCTGAATACAATTTATGACATTTCCATAGTATTTTCATGTTGGCCTTGCATTCAAGGTAATTTTGGGAGGAACCTATATACTCATTTGCACTCACTTCCAATATATCTTCATCATATAACTCTGATGATTCTTCAWGGTTATCTAATGCTGCTCTTCTTCCTCTGTCCTCTTGCTCATCACGGAAAGGATCAACGACAATATTATGAATGTCTTTAATCTCAGACCTACAAAATGGACATCCCTCRCCACCTTTCTCTTGCCACTGTTCTAGACAGTTATGACACATAAGATGACCGCATGGTTCAATACGCACATCCTTGTCGTTCTCAGCACAGATCTTACAGAGCTGGAAAGTGGATCCCATTTCACAGTATAACTCATACTGTTCCTCAGTGACTTTAATGTGTTCATCAGGGGGCGTGACCAAATATTGCTGTAGATCTGGATTTTGGTCATAACCATCTGGATACAGGTAGCTGAAAAAGATGGACAGMGCAATTAGTTTTATTTTGCCCTCTGGGAAGATGGCCACTGTATCGACRAAGTAGTCCATTAATGTAACAGATGATACTTACTATCCTTCTCTTGCTCCATCTATGAGTGCCTGACAAAGTGATCTGTTCTGTGGGATTGTCTGTAGAATAGTATGCTCAGGTGTGACRTAACCAATTGCCCACTGACCAAGCCTGGTGCAGCTTAAGCGAAAAATGTAACTGTTGTCAAAAGAAAAAATGTTAGAATCAAGATGAAAAGAGACTGAGAATAACAACAATAATAATAATAATAATAACAATAATGATAATAATAATCATAATCACAATGATAACAATAAAAATAATTTATAAATTTTTTTCTCTCTTTTCTTTCGTTGTCTTTGAAATTGTTTTGTATTGTTTTCAAGTAAGAATTATAAATGTTGTAAAAAAATATTGTAAAAATAAAAAAAATAAAAAGTCAATAAAATGCACAAATTGGACAAAAAAAAATTATTATTATCATTTTAAATTTTATTCAAACATTCATGAATAATTAATGATATTTAGACCTATCAGGTCCTTCATATCCATCACGTGCATGGATCTTTATATCTGATAATGGATACCCTTTTAAAAAGATTTTGAAATCTTATTTAATCTAATAATTTAAATTATTTGAACCTGAAAAAACACTCCTGTTCATTTATTAAACTATACTTTACATTTCAATCTTATACCAGAGCACAGGTACTCCATTAATTAGGGAATTGTAGTTTTATTCACAAAAAAATACCCATACTGCTTCCTCCTMAATGCATTGCTAATACTTCCTCAGTAATAAATAATTTTAATAACAGGAGATCAAGTTAATGCAGGTGCAAAAATTATTCATGCCCCCTCACATAGGAATTTTTTTAAGACACCCCCTAMCCCCGGAAATWCCAATTTTCTTCCATACAAACTCTGTAATTTTTGTTCTTTCTCTGAAACCCCTACTCTTCGGAAATTCTAAATTCCTCTTTGGGGTGGGTATGGATGATTTCTGGGATTACACGATTTACTAATAATGTCGGTAATGTTGTCAAATTACCTTCCAGCTCTATTCATGTGTTCAGAGAGCCGTGCTTTCACCTCATCGTAAGTCATAAATGCACAGTATCCCGGRTGTGTAACAGCTAAGAGATTCCAGTTTTGAAGCAAGTGAGACCACGGCTGGAATAGTCTTGAAAAAACATCAAATTCGAATATGGAGATGTGGTCGTTACAAGTGAGGTCRATGGTAGACTTGAGCGCAATGGCTTCCAAACCAGATCCAATAGGATGCTCATTATGTAGGGTTTGTCTGAACAGCTTCCACGTAATGATAGTTCTATAGAACAACAGGAAATCGTGTTAAAAAAATAAATTTCTTCAAACAAAAGACAAAGACCATTATTTTATAACAGGAAGGATGATTTAGAATTATTCAATACTTCCATACTAAATACTACCGTACTAAATAATAGTGTGTAATCTCACATGATGAGCTTAGCTCTTGGAGAGAACACAGAGAGTCAATATGTTTAAATAAAAATAATAATAATATCAGAATGTCTATGACAGTAAAATACTAATTTTAAAAGCTGAATAAAAACTTTATGTTCGATAAAAGAATTTAAAGTAGTATTCTACTGTCATGAGAATTCATAATTAAATGTTTGTCAAAATTGTTTCTTTTACAGAATTTACATCACCAAGTAATAAATATTACAGCAAGGGCACTTGAACCATGAACACTTCAAGTTTTTTCGGGTTATTATTTCCTGAATTTTCTATTGTTTTAAACCTTCGAAAATGAAGCACTGAATTCAAATATGCCAAGTAATCAAAATAAAATTTTATGGAATGATTTATGGTATGCATTTTAAAAATGTGAAAAAAAAAAAAAGAGTCTAATTGTTCATGGTTCAAGGGTCCTCAATGTAAACTAAACTACTGCAAACATACTATATCATAATAATAATGACATTAACTTTATTTAAAGGAAAACAACATAACTACATAGATTGATCTATTTTTCCATTATCAACTCCCAGTAATAAAACAGGGTATATGCTTTTCCAGTGAAAAAATGTAAGGAAATTTCCACCTCCCATATTTTCTCTTTGAAATGTAGTTGTGCAATTACCGTTCTAATTGTACAAAAACAAAAAGAAATATGAGAAGCTTAAAGGTGTGTCCACTTCTAATTTGCATGTGTTYATAATAAGTATGTGAATTTTTTTTGTTTCAACCTAGTCTCACTAATTGTGTTTTCACTAAAAAACAGCATCTTGGTTCTTGCTGTCATAACAGTATGTAGAATAGAAGGAAGGAAGGAAGGAAAAATGCAAATCTCAGAAGTAGTGTAGTTATTTCATCTTTGGCTTTAGCTCACTGCTAATGCTGTATGACAGCGAAACAGCTAATGAAGTTTGTGATCCTCTGGCGATTCATTTCTTTCTTTCCTTCTTCCTTTTTACTCAAGTATAACATGGTTATGTCTTATAAAAATATAATAATAATAATAATAATAATAATAATAATAAGTAAATAGGCTGATAGTGATATTTATAATGCTGCACCATACAATAATCATAAAAGTTCATACTAGTGTAATAATTAGTTATTTTTGAATAAGAACTAGAAAATAATAGTAAATTTATTATTAGTAATTATATTATCATTATTATTATCATTATTATTATTATTATCATTATTATTATTATCATTATTATTATTATCATTATTATTATTATCATTATTATTATTTGTTTGTTCTTATTAACAGGCATGAACAAGTATAACAAGTTTTATTTTTTCCAAGTCCTGCTTGACACACCCAAACATATTGCAACCGTTCATACACCAGCATTAATTCCACCTTTTCCAATTATATTTTCATGGTCACAAATCTAATATCCCAATAGCATACCCAATGTCAACAAATAACTATATATAGGGCCCAATGACCGTGCAATGTTTGTATAAAGGTCGATAGATTGTTCTCTTATTCGCTGATAGGGCGCCCGAAACTAAACCAAAAATTRTCAACAGCTGAAAGAGTAGGCTTAATCTTGAATACAAACCGGCTCTCGATAAAAAGCGAAATATCATCATTCGTGTTCAGTAATATGATGTAAATGATCTTTCATTCGATTAAAATCCACTCTTTCTAACCCGAAATCGAACCCAAATCTTCACCCATCTTTAAATAATCGCGTCTAAAAAAAATCTAAATATTCAGAGTTTCTAAATTTGATTTATGTCCGCAATCAGACTAAAKACCATAAGTCTTGCCAATAAATGGGCAAAATTAATGTTCCACCGTCTGCGGTGGAAGTAATTGTCAACACTTGGACTGAATTTGTCTCAATATTCTTCTTTGAACTTTAAAAGAAAAAGGCTTCTKTATTCACGCGATAAAATTGGTTTAATTTACCAGTTTATTGTCTAAAATAGTGATGTTAAAGCCCGGGAACGCCTTTTAGTAATACTTTACGAATAATTGCTAACTAAAGTTAGGATAAATATTATAAGGTGTTTGCTGACTTCGCCTGAGTGAATCAAGTGAGCTGGATGCAATAGAATAAACTCGTACAATATTCACACTTCCTTACCTAGTACCGAAATTCTTTTTCCAAAAGTCTGCAGCATCAGCTTTCGTAACTCTAAAACCATCACTAATGTAGGTGCCCGAAGGAAATAAAGCCTTAAGTTCTGTCAACATGTGACTGAAAACAAGACTCAGTTTGGTAAGACTTCGTCGCTCCACCGAGCTCTCATCAAACATTTTATCCTTTCCATCTTTGAATAATTTAATGGCATGTTTCGACTGTTTCATGAGATTTTCGATATATATCCTAAAGTACTCAATGTCGTTTAGAATGTGCATTCGCTCTTCATACTTGGAAATAATCAGCTTCAAATGCTGATAAGTGTCGGGAAGGATATCAAGAATATACGGTGGGCTGTTCTTCAAATTCATGCGCTGGTTTTGACACAACTTTACCACTTTGTCCATTAATTTCCATGTTTTCTCGATAGTCTTTTTATCGATCTGTAATCTAGGAGTCACTGCGTGTGTAAATGCATCTTGTAGGCCGTCTCGAAGTCGGGAGAAAAACCGTGAATGGCGAGAAGCTGCCATCGGAAAGTTCGCCATTTTGAGCCATTCGCTCTCCTTGCTCAATTTCCGCGTACGACGAGGATTTTGTTCACGTGATATGAACCCACCAATCACATGCGCCATGCTGAAAGGAGAAAAATCCTATTTAGAAATCGTAGACTTTCGTTCTATTCGTGTTTTATGATTAACGAGCATAGAGAGTTTTCAATTCAAAACGCAAGCGAAACTTTCTGTTTTACTCTCGAGAGTGAAACAACTATTCAAGTACGTTGCGTATGGAACTGCCCCCAGCTTTCTGAACAGGAAATAAATGATAAGGAATTTTTGTGCGTAATTTGTGTAAGAGGTCGCAGACATTTAGAGAAAAAAGTTCGGTAGAAAATTCTAGTGGATTCGAAATGATGAGTTTTTTTCACTTTACCTAAAACACGGTGCCATTGTATTGTATGAAATTTGCTCCAGAATGTTTCTTCTTACGGCTTTTTCGTATTATTTATTTGACTATATCRGACGTGACGTTGGCCGTTCTTGGCAAAGGGAGGAAGGATTTAGAAACACCCCATCTTCAGTTTCCCATATTCCTACCAACGCACATCCTTTTGACTAAGATACTCTATTTATTTCCCATAGGGCAAATGCATGTTATGACCCATAAAATCTCGAACAAACATTCTATTATCGCTTTAATACCGAAACCAAGCTTCTCGGGAGCTAAGTTAGTAATAAGATGTTATTTTTATTCCCATTCAAAAATCTCTCCGCTTGGCACAGCACGTTCGTAATTTGATAATTTAAAAAGTTTCCTCTGAACAGTATCTTACGCTTCGTTTAATGCGCTATATACGTAACATGAATATTCATGTTTAGTCATGGCGTATAAACTTGAACTATGTCAACTCTTTATTTTATTTCCGAGTCGCGTCTAATCCGATCTGTGTGTGGTTGTGACTGTTGTGTCTACATGGAGGGGATCAAAGGCATGAAGCGTTGAAAGATTTCAAAGGGTTTGTGAGATCGATCTGGGCGTAACACTGCGGAATGAATGGCCTTGTCAGAAGGTAAATGAGCAGTAAAAATATCATCAGACTAATTATGGTTTTCACCTCGGATTTTCTTCGTCATCTAAGTGAAAGTACCTTGTAACTGAAGAGGAATTTGCCATCGACTGTTTGATGGGGAATTCCGTTTTGACTGAAAGCCTACGCCTTATCTTCTCTTTCGCTTGCTTCGTTTAACGCTCAAACTCTGGTCATTCCCAGGCTTGGAGAGTTTATAGCAGCGGTGAGTCGAACGTGCTTTATGTACGGCGACACACCTTTACCATTTCAATAAGTGAAACCAATTCGCTAAGGTCATAGATCTCTGGGTATAACCGGAGTTCCACCTAAATACCACGTGCTAGTCATGAATGATCATGTACCAAATGGATAAAGCCTTTCGGTTGCTACAATTAAAGTCTTATGTCAGCTGTTCTTTCGGAAATGAACGGAAATGAATGAAGGTTCTAGTGTTTAATTCATGATAAGCGTTGTTTAGAAACTAATACTGGCACGACTCTTGTTGAACGTATATTGTGTTACATCAGTGTGACGTGTGGACCTGAACGGCTCGAAACTCAGTTGCCGAAAAAGATTGCATTATCGTGCAGCTAAGCCCACTCATCACTGACGCCGGAATAAACAGTATATAAAACAGATAAAAGAGTTTTATGGCTATATCGACAAACGTTTTTAGTGTTATACAAACAAGTTTGATTTACAGAGAGTATTTTCGTGTAAAACCTACCGAACTGAACTTGAAATAGCCAGCAACCTCTGTTTCAAGCACTTACATCGGGTTAACTCGAAAACCCTTTTACTACAAGTCTCAGTGCAAACTCTTACATACTTTTTTATACCACATGGCAGACAAATCGTCTAATAATCAAAGCCAATTGCGTAATTTTATAGGTAATAGTTTACCCAAGTTCAATTAGAATGTGCCTTAATTTGGTATTATGAAGCCACAGGGGTCAGAGAGTTTACCGTCAAACGCATGACTGTCAATAAGAGGACAKCTGCAACCACAAAATATCACAAATATTTCCCATCAATGTTGTATATTTACTGTTGGTGGTCATCGTGTTGACTATAGTCGGTGTATCATCATCATAGTTACCATCATCATCAGTAGTAGCATCAACCACTTTCATTTATCATCATCATCCATCCATTCAGGGGCAAGGCATGACAACTATCAAATACTATAGCCCAAATAGATTGTGACCTTCACTACCATCATGATKATCATCATCATTATGCACCACCATCATCATCATTGTGATCATTATCATCAGAAGCGTTATCATTACCATCATCATCATCACCATAATCATTATCAGCATCATCATCCTGATCATCATTAACAACATCATGACTATCATCGTCACCATCATCATCGTCGTCATTGACCACCAATGATTACCATCATCATCATCATCATGACCATCGCCGCCATCATGATCATAATAAACATCAACATAATGCATCATCATCATCATCATCATCATCATCACAATCACTGTCGTCATCAGCTTCACCACTACCATCATATATGCATCACCATCACTATCAACACGATCATCATATCCTGTCTGGTTTCGCATGCAAAACCGGAAGATCATAAATGGAAGGAGTTGACGTCRTATTATTCAGTTTCGCTCACGTCGTATGGTCGATTGCGGAATTCCCCAAAAACAATACAGCAGCYAGGGCTATTAATGGAATATGATAGAAACGATAACTAACGCGGTTAGGATTCGTGCACTTTTTCCCTCGTTGTTTTTATCWGTCATGCATGACACTCGTACCAATATTTTAGATCGTCTATTAACTTTTTTTCGTTCTCTCTTTCATTGTTCCTTTCTAGGCTTTTCTTTTCTTATTGCTCTTTCTTTTTTCTCTTTCTTTTGTTCCTGGCTTTTTTTCTTTTCCTTACTAAAATTGCAAAAGAGATCAGTTCTTTTCAACTACTTTCCATACATTGTATCTCAGTTGTTCGTTATTTGTTCTCGTCGTCCGCTTTTCCAAAATATTTTTATCACAAATATGAAATAATAAAATAGTAATAATTATATTAAATAGATCAAGAAAGTTATCATCATGACCGTCGTTGTCATGGTTATCATGATAAAAACAACAAAGATGATGACAGATTTTCGACGATCCACATAATCCATGTCATCCTCATCCATGTCATTATCATCACCATCACCATCATTACTATCATCATCATCATCCATTCATCATTATCATCCATTCATCATCATCATCATCCATGTCATCGTCATCATCATCCTCATCCATGCCATCACCATTATCATCATCCACTGCCATCACCATTATCATCATAATTATCACCATTATCATCATCATCATCATTACCATCCATGTCATCATCGTCATCATCGTGATCACCATCATGATCATTATATAGATTTTTAGATTTTATATTGCTGATCACCTGTTCATACCAGCTGTTCTATCGTGCCAGCTGATCGGTATTTTAAATTAGGATAAATAACGATATTATTATTAATATCATTATTAACATGATCATTATCATCGTCATCATCACCATCATGATCATGATCATCACCATCATATTCTTTATCATGATCAGTCACCATGCATCATCAACTACARTCTATCCTTCTGTTCCGTGATAACAATGCTCATTAGTAAGACTGTTCTCCCTCCGTTTGTAAGATAACAGGATCTACATAGGTATTCCATCGAGCTGACAACCTTAATTAATCATATATAGACTACACTAAGAAATGAATCAAACGATAGACCACATAGGCTTGTTGGATCGTGTTAGTTGACGTCAACTACTACATTTATTTGAAAGGTTTTCAGTCGCGAGTCACGTTCCAATATGAATTCGACATACACAGGAAACCATRCTTTCCTTGGTGTGGTAAATCCGATTAGATGGTGTTTTCTAGAATCTAGAATACTGAATTAATGAGACAAAAACTGCAAATGAAACCATGCATGCAACTGCAAATGAAGTGAGCTGTAAAATAATGATAAGAAAACCCTAGAAATATATCGAGGTGCGCTTGAAAAAAATATGTGAATTAATGGGAAGGTGAATGAGAGATGCATGGATGGATGGATTATATCACTTTATCATAAATAAACGCCAATATTCTCTATAAAATAGTTGGTCCATGGATGCCATGCATATAGTCTTGACACATGAAATGACGTCATAATCTCAATTCTGACAAGGATTCAATATTACAAAATATCAATTATTGAATAGTGAGTATGGACGATGGAAAATTTTGACTTCATCGTTAGAATCAGAGGAATTGTCGACCTCAGAACATTGCTTTTTGACACGCAAATATATTAACTTGATGATTGAACGCCAAGCAAAATAAACGGCAAAAATACTAATATTTTATGAACCTCTATATTCTGTGCATGCAGAAAATATTAGTTAAAGCATTGTTTATCACAGAGAAATTGAAACAGAAAACAAAAAGAATTAGCAAT